ACCAGAGCTATGGATCAGAAGATGGGGTAGCTGGCGTACAGGCAGATACAGCATGCAGAGAGTCTGTGAGGAAGGATAAACAGTTGATAGGGCAAAGTTGCAGTCAGCGCGACGGATTGAAGTGTGTCTATGTTAATGCAAGAAGTGTCAGGAATAAGGGTGATGAATTTAGAGCATGGATCAGTCCTTGGAGCTACGAAGTTGTGGGCATTACAGAGACTTGGATAATACAGGGGCAAGAATGGCTGTTGGATGTTCCAGGGTTTAGATGTTTCAAAAGAAATAGGGAGGGAGGTAAAAGAGGTGGGGGAGTGGCATTGCTAATCAGGGACGGTATCACAGCTGCAGAAAGGGAGATCGTGGAGGAGGGTTTCTCCACTGAGTCAGTATGGGTGGAAGTCGGAAACAGGAAAGAAGAGTTACTTTATTGGGAGTTTTCTATAGACCCCCCCAGTAGCAACAGAGACACTGAGCAACAGATTGGGAGGCAGATTTTGGAAAGGTGCAGAAGTAATATGGGTGACTTCAACTTCCCTAATGTTGACTGGGACCTCGTAAGTGAAAATAGTTTGGATGGAGTAGATTTTGTCAGGTGTGACCAGGAAGGATTTCTGACTCAACATGTAGATAGGTCGACTAGTGGGGAGGCCATATTGGATTTAGTGCTTGGCTAACAAACCAGGCCCGGTATCAGATTTCTCGGTGGGCGAGCATTTTGGTGATAGTGATCACAACTCCCTGACTTTTACTATAGTCATGGAGGGAGGTAGGAGCAGATGATATGGGAAAGTATTTAATTGAGCGTGGGGGAATTACAATTCTATTAGGCAAGAACTGCAGAGCATAAATTGGGAACAGGTGTTCTCAGGGAAATGCACAACAGAAATGTGGAGGTTGTTTAGGGAGCACTTGCTATGAGTGCTGGATAGGTTTGTCCCACTGAGGCAAGGAAGGGATAGTAAGGTGAAGAAACCTTGGATAACAAGACATGTGGAACATCTAATCAAGGGGAAGAAAGGAGCTTACTTAAGGTTGAGGAAACAAGGATCAGTCAGGGCTCAAGAGGTCTACAAGGTAGCCAGGAAGGAACTGAAGAATGGACTTAGGAGAGCTAGAAGGGGGTACGAAAAAGCCTTGGCAGGTAGGATTAAGGAAAACCCCAAGATGTTCTATACTAATGTGAGGAACAACAGGATGGCCAGTGAGGGTAGGGCCGATCAGGGATAGTGGAGGGAACTTGTGCGTGGAGTTGGAGGAGGTAGGGGAGGTCCTTAATGAATACTTTGCTTCAGTATTCACCAGTGAGAGGGACATTGTAGTTTGTAAGGACAGCATGAAACAGGCTGATATGCTCGAACAGGTTGATGTTAGGAAGGAGGATGTACTAGAAATTTTGAAAAACATGAGGATAGATAAGACCCCTGGGCCAGATGGGATTTACTCAAGGTTACTACGGGAAGCGAGGGAAGAGATTGCTGCCCCTTTGGCAATGATCTTTGCATCCTCACTGTCCACTGGAGTAGTACCAGATGATTGGAGGGTGGAAAATGTTATTCCCTTGTTCAAGAAAGGGAATAGGAATAATCCTGGGAATTCTAGACCAATCAGTCTTACTTCTGTGGTGGGCAAATTATTGGAGAGGATTCTGAGAGATAGTATTTATGATTATTTGGAAAAGCACAGTTTGTTTAGAAATAGTCAGCATGGCTTTGTGAGGGACAGGTCATGCCTGACAAGCCTTATTGAATTCTTTGAGGATATGACAAAACACCTTGATGAAGGTAGAGCAGTGGATGTGGTGTATATGGATTTTAGCAAGGCATTTGATAAGGATCCCCATGGTAGGCTCATTCAGAAAGTAAGGAAGCATGGGATCCAGGGAAATTTGGCTGTCTGGGTACAGAATTGGATGTCCAATAGAAGACAGAGGGTGGTTGTAGATGGAAAGTATTCAGCCTGGAGCTTGGTGACCAGTGGTGTTCCGCAGGGATCTGTTCTGGGACCTCTGCTCTTTGTGATCTTTATCAATGACTTGGAATGGGGAAGTGGAGGGGTGGGTTAGTAAGTTTGCCGATGACACAAAGGTTGGTGGAGTTGTGGATCGTGTGGAAGGCTGTTGTAGGTAGCAGGAGTAGGATGCAGAGCTGGGCAAAGAAGTGGCAGATGGAATTCAACCTGGCAAAGTGTGAAGTGATTTGTTTTGGAAGGTCGAATTTGAATATAGAATGCAGGATGCTTGGCAGTGTGGAGGAACAGAGGGATCTTGGGGTCCATGTCCACAGTTCCCTCAAAGTTGCCAACCAAGTTGATAGGGTTGTTAAGAAGGCATATGGTGTGTTGGCTCTAATTGGCAGGGGAATTGAGTTTAAGAGCCGCGAGGTTATGCAACTCTATAAAACCCTGGTTAGACCACACTTGGAATATTGTGTCAGTTCTGGTCACCTCATTACAGGAAGGATGTGGAAGCTTTAGAGAGGGTACAGAGGAGATTTACCATGATGCTGCCTGAACTGGAGGGCAGGTCTTAGGAGGAAAGGTTGAAGGAGCTAGGGCTTTTCTCATTGGAGCGAAGAAGGATGAGAGTTGACTCGATAGAGGTATACAAGATGATGAGAGGCATAGATAGAGTGGATAGCCAGAGACTTTTTCCCAGGGTGGAAATGACTATTACAAGGGGGCATAATTTTAAGGTGATTGGAGGAAGGTAAATGGGCGATGTCAGAGGTAGGTTCTTTAGACAGAGAGTAGTGGATACGTGGAATGTGCTGCCAGTGGTGGTAGTGGAGTCAGATACATTAAGGACATTTAAGCAACTCTTGGATAGGCACATGGATGATAGTCAAATGTAGGATATGCAGGGTAGTTTGATCTTAGCGTAGGATAATAGGTCAGCACAACATCGTGGGCCGAAGGGCCTGTACTGTGCTGTACTGTTCTATGTTCTAGAGAGTTGGGATAAGGGGGCATTTTCAGGATGGCAGTGTGTATCTAATGGAGTGCTACAGGGGTCAGTGCTGGGGTCACGATTACTTACAATATCATGATTTGGATGAGGAAAGTGAATGCACTGAAGCCAAGTTTGAGGATAGCATAAAAACAGGTGGGAAGGCAGTGGTAAGAATGACACAGTCTGCAGTGGGACACAAATAGGTTAAGTAAGCGGACAATAACTTGGCAGATGGAATACAACATGGGAAAATAGAAGGCTATGGAGCTGAATATGATTTAAATGGAAAAAGACTGCAGAAAGCTACGGAACAGAGGGATTTGGGAGTCCTCAGCCATGAATCACAAAATGCTAGCAATCCAAGTTTAACAGGTAATAGGGAAGGCATATAGAATTTTGGCCTTCATTTCAAAGGGAATAGAGTAGGCAGATTTTGCTAAAACTATATCAGAACACCAGTCAGATCACAGCTAGAATACAGTAAACACTTTGGTGGCCCTTATCTAAGGAAAGATAGACTGGCATTGGAGGCAGTCCAGAGAAGGTTCACTAGGCTGGTACCAAATATAGAGGACCATCTCTATTATGAAATGTTTAGTAGATTAGGTCTGTACTCATTGGAATTCCGCAGATTCAATTTTATTTATTATTGTCACATGTACCTCATTGAAATAGAGGATTCTTAAATTACTTAACAGGGTAGAGTAGAAAGGTTCATGCCCCTTATGTGACAGTCAAAGTGTTCTGAAATTAACACAGAGGTGAAGAGGAATTTATTCTCTCAGAGGGCAGTGAGTCTGGAATTCTTCACTCCAGAGTGCTGCCAAGGTTTGGTCATTAACTATATTCAAGGTTGAGACAGACAGAATTTTAATCACTAAGGGAAATCAAGGGTTATAGGGATAAGGCAAGAAGGAGGAGTTCAGCATTATCAGATCAGCCATGATCTCATTGAATGATGGCGTAGACTCAACGGGTTCCTTCTATGGTTTTATGGTGTTATGGACACTAACAATGCTTATCCATCAACCAACAATCACAAAAGCAGATTATCTGGCCATTATCATGTAACTGTTTATAGCAATTTGCACTGTGTGTACTAGCTCCTGTGTTTCCTATAATTACACCATTTCAGAAGGGCCTAATTGACAGTCAAGTGCTTTTGGAAATCCTGGGACTGTGAAAGTTGCCATTTAGATGCAAAACAATCTTCCTTATTCTTTTGATAAATTTGAACTGGTTTAGCCAGACACACACGGTCTTTTAGCCAGTTTCCACTGATTTGGACGGCTCAGGAAAATGCAGTGAAGTCCTGGCTATTCCCAGTCATGTTCAAACAGCAAAACGGACTTGGAATGGTAATACTGCGTCTCCCTCCACAGCTGTTGCTGAATTAAGTGTATTTCCAAAATGTTCTATTTCTGTCAGATTTCCAGCATCCACGTTATTTTTTCACTCAGAAGGTCAACTCCAAAATCTTGGAAATTTTCTCTTGTTGTGTGCACAAGTGTTGGAAAATAGCCTGAATTTTAATAACCTTGTTGGGCTTAATGGTTTATCTGCTCTCGTGGTCATTCTGGATTGTGACAGAATCATATTTGAACGTGCAGCTTATAAAACCTTCTGATAAATGTAACTAAATTACCGTTCAATAATATTTGGACACAAAAGTATGGTGTGGTGCCATAAGTGCTTTAAATCTAATCTCTTGACAGATCAAAACATGTTTTTTTGGCCTCCTTTACTACTAATTTCTACAATTAATGTAGCAACATAATAAACTATTCTGTCAGCCCACTGTTTGCAAACATCAGCAAAAATTTTATTTAGTTACAAAGGTTAAACAAATACAGGCAAAAATCACAGTTCCAAAGACCACAAAGCAAACACTCTCCATTGAACAACAGAAGTAAATATAGATTATTTCATGCCAGTTATCACTGGCCAAACAAAAACCTGCCTTCAAAGTGAGACAGCCACAAGGAATGATTATTACAAGCAGAAAAACACAATGTGGAACAAATCAAGTTATCTGAAAAATACAACCATTTTGAAAAACAAAAAACAGTGCAATCTAAAACTTTTAAACAAGCATTAAAACAAAATTACAGTTGAAATAATGCTGATGTGATGAAATGTATGATCTTTTGAACACATTCAATGTTAATGGGATGGACATATTGATAGAATGAGGGCATTCATCAGGTACTAACCTAAATAAGTGTTTCAATAACCAGGGACTTTTGAGGGTATTTCACCTATATTTGTCTCTAAGCTACTAAACAATCCAGGTGAGGTGAATTCTGGAAACTCAAGTGGATGCCTTTAGTGCTGCTGAACCCTTCCTGCCTTTTTCCTGTATTATCTGAACTTCAACATGCGTGGGATGAGGAGAATCTCCCCTTTAAAGTTAACTTAGTGGGATTGAACGATGGAAATGAGAACATATAGACCAAAGAAACCACCCTGATTAACTGCTATCCCCACTGTATCTAAACAATGTGAACTGTGCAATGGTACTGCTAATGCACTTCTGTTGAACATTTGTTCAATGTCCCTTAAATTCTCTTCAGAAGTTAGTGAACATTGACAACAAGCTATTGAAGTAGTAGATCTGGTGGAAATTTGTTTGCACAGCTCAACTAATTTTGAGAATTTGAACAGGCTTTTTGGATTTTTAATTCACTTGCAACACTGTACCCTCCAAGAGAATTTCTCCCTTCATCTTTATACCTAGATGAATTTTTTGTTTAATCCAGGAGGACTGTGTGGTATCTCAGGTCAGAAATAAAATAAAGCTCATGACATTTGTGACATGAGGAATTATTATCATCATCTGAATCCTATGTTGCAATTATTAAACATTAGAAGGTATAAAAATACTTACTGTAATTCTGAAGGCTATTTTAAAGAGACATAAAGAATATAATATATACTCAGAGATAAAATCTTGTTCCTGGGGTTGCAATAATGTCACTATAAGGTTCTCTTTGGGTGAGTTCAAGCACCAACTGTTTCTTGAGCATGAGGAGACTATAGAATTTGGCAGCAGCCTGTTTGCGATTGTGATCTCTGCACAGCTCCAGCAAGCTGAAAAACTTTGCACCTGTTGTGTCATGGATCCGCTAGAAAACAACAAAAGTAGTAGTAAAATAAACCATTCCTCCCTTTATAAGCGTGGAAGATTGCAAGAGGTAAAATGATGTGATTAAAAAATTGAAACCCAGGTAATGGGGCAATACTAACAGCACTGAACAGTGTCAAGTGAGAAGCACACAAGAGTGTGCAAAATCATGAAACAAGGCTATTATGATGTAACAGATAAATAACACTGAACAACAACTGTGTACTTAACTATTCCCAGTTAGCATCCTATCTTTCACCCCCTTAAACCTCTATTCACCCAAAAACATGCTAACGTTTGGTATCCTAACTCAAAACAAATCTCACACTGTCACACCCCAGTGTTCACACTTTGCCTCCAGATCTGGCAACATCTTCATGTAAAATTCTCATTCATCTTCTTCATTCACGCTCCTCCTTATTTTTATAACCTCTTCCAACCCTACAATTCTTCAAGATAGAAACATAGAAAATAGAAACATAGAAGGACCAACATTTGGCCCTTCGAACCTGCACCACCATTCAATATGATCATGGCTAATCATGCAATTTCAGTATCCCACTCCCGCTTTCTCTCCATACCTCCTGATCCATTTAGCTGCAAGGACCACATCCAGCTCCCTCTTGAATATAGCAAATGAACTGGCCACAACAGCTTCCTGTGATGGAGAATTCCAGAGGTTCACAACTCTATGAGCGAAGAAATTCTTCCTCATCTCAATCCTGAATGGCTTACCTCTAATTCCTAGACTGTGATCCCTAGTTCTGGAATTCTCCAACATCGGGAACATTCTTCCCGCATCTAGCCTGTCCAATTCCATCAGGATTTTATATGTTTCTATGAGATCCCCTCATTCTTCTAAATTCCAGTGAGTACAAGCCCAGTTGATGCAGTCTTTCTTCATATGTCAGTGCTGCCATCCCGGGAATCAGTCTAGTGAACATTCGCTGGACTCCCTCAATAGCAAGAATGTCCTTTCTCTGACTAGCAGACCAGAACTTCCGTCAGGCAGAAGCTACTGAAGCCTGAACACATGCATGAGCAGATTCAGGAACAGCTGCTTCCTGGCCATTATTAGACTGACGAATGGACTCTCTAGCCTCAAATAATGCTGATCTTGCTAACGTTGATCTCACCTAGCACACTCCCTGTGCAATGTAACATGTATGCCTCTGTCCAAGTCTTTTTGATCTGTACATCGACATGCCTACTAAGATCTGCCTGTACTGATCGTAAACAAAGCTTTTCACGGTATTTTGGTACATGTGACAATAAATCAATCAAAACTGCACACAGTACTCAAGGTATGGCCTCACCAAGGCCCTGTATAACTGCAGCAAAACATCCCTATTCCTATACTCAAATCCTCTTGCTTTGAAGGCAGGCATGCCATTAGCTTTCCTCACCACCTGCTACATCTGCATGCTAACCTTCAGCAACTGTTCCACCATGACACTCAGGTCTCAGTCCACCTCACCTTGTCCTAAACTGCCACTATTCAGATAATAATCTGCCTTCTTGTTTTTGCCACCAAATTGGATAACCTCACATTAATCCACATTATATTGCATTAGCCAAGTACTTGCCCACTCAGCCAGCATGTCCAAGTCACCCTGCAGCCTTTTAGCATTCTCCACCCAGCTTAGTGTCGTCTGTAAATTTGGAGTTATTGCATTCAATCCTTCATCCAAATCAGTAATGCATATTGTGAACAGCTGGGGTCCCAGCACTGAACCCTGTGGCACCCTGCTCGTCACTGTCTGCCACTCTGAAACGGACCCAATTCTCTGCTTCCAGTTGCCAATCAGTTCTCTATCCACATCAATACTTTACCTCCAATACCATGAGCTTTAATTTTGCTTACTAACCTCTTGTGTGAAACATTGTTAAAAGCCTTCTGAAAGTCCAGATACACAATATCCACTGATTCACCCTTGTCCACTCTACTGGACACATCCTCAAAAAAATCCAGAATATTTGTCAAGCATGATTTCCCTTTAGTGAATCCATGCTGACTTGGACCGATTCTGTCACCGCTTTCCAAATGCTCAGTTATTACATAATTAATGACTGACTCCAGCATTTTCCCCACCACCGAAGTCAGGATAACCAGCCTATAACTCCCTGTTTTCTCTCTCCCTTCTTTTATCCATGTGTTCTTTAAATGCTTGCCATAAGCTATCCACCATCAACCCCTTAAGTGTCCTTGACCAGCTTATCCTAGTTAATGCATGCCTCATACCATCAAAATTAGCTTTCTTTAAATTCAGGACCCTAGTTTCAGATTTAACTGTGTTACTCTCCACCTTAACGAAGAATTCTACCATATTACGGTCACTTTTCCCAAAAGGATCTCGCATCATAAGACTGCTAATTAATCCTCTCTCATTACAAAATACCCAGTCTAGGATGGGCTGCTCTCTACTTGGTTCTTCAACATATTGGTCAAGGAAACGATCCTTCATACATTCCAGGAAATCCTCCTCCAATGCATTTCTACAAGTTTGGTTAGTCCAATCAATATGCAGATTGAAGTCACCCATAATAGGTGCTGTTCCCTTACTGCACGCATCTCTAATTTCCTGTCTGATGCCATCCCCAACCTCGATGACTGTTTGGTGATCTGTACACAACTCCCACTAACACTTTTTCTCCCTTTGGTGTTCCACAGCTCCACCCATACAGATTCCACACTGCCCAAGTTAATGTCCTTCCTTACTATTGTGTTAATCTCCTCTTTAACCAGCAACGCTACTCCACCTCCCTTTCTTTTCTATATATCTTTCCTGAAAACTGAAAACCCCTGGATGTTGAGTTCCCATTCTTGGTCATCCTGGAGCCAGTTCTCTGTGATCCCAATTACATCTTATCCATTAATAACTATGTGACCAGTTAATTCATCCGCCTTATTAAAAATGCTCCTCACACTGAGACACAGAGCCTTCAGGCTCATTTTTTGGAAATTTATTGCCCTTTCAGCATTATGGTGTAATAATATGGTCCTTTTTGATTTTTATCTCTGGACTTTTGTTTGCGGCCGCAGAAATGCCCATCTATTTCCCTTACAATTGAATCCCCTATCGTTATAGCTCTGCCACTCTTTTTCTAGTGACCTTTGCACCTTTCTGATTCTTACCTCTTAACACCTCCAGTTTAACTTGTTCCACCATTGGTAGCTTTCAGCAACTCAGGGTCTTAATGTCTAGAATTCCCTCCCTAATGCACTCCCCACCTCTACAGTTCTCTTCACCTTAATGGTGCTCCTTAAAGTCTACCCATTTTTGCCAAGCTTTTGGAGATCTCTCTCAAACATTTCCATTAGTAGGTTATTGTCAAATTGTATTTGGTGGGATTCCTGTGGTAACGTGGGATATTTCACTATGTTAAAGGTATTATGTAAAATGAGGAAGGCTGGAAAACATAAGGGGTGTGGTGCTGGTAGGGGAGGAGACCACGGTCTGTGAAGTTCACAATGCAGTGAAAGTATGGGTATTGCAGGAAAGTATTTGACCATTTCCATTCGAAGTGAAGTTAATGGCAGAACAAGACATTTGATGTTAGCATTCTGTATTGGTTAACATCTTCAGAGAAATGTTATATTCATTTACCATAATGAATTGCAGCTAACAAAAAGTGAACTCACATCCTATTAGGTACAAAACAGATACGGAAATATGTCATTAAATTCTACATAGTTGACAAACATGGAAAGCAGAGAATTATAGACTAGTTGGTCTGGTATCTGTCGTTGGAAAATTACTAGAGTCCTTAGAATGACTGAAAACTTTCAACTGTTCAGAGATATGCATGGATTTGCAAAGGGGAGAACATGCCTGCCAAACCTGATTAAGTCAACTCTTTGAAAAGTTCCAAGTAGCAGAATGTTTATGGATGTTACTTAAATGGACTTCCAGAAAGCATTTGGTAAAGTCCTTTATAGGAGACTATTAGTTAAACTTGAAGCTTATGGAACTGAAAGCAAATTATTGACCATATTGGGTTTGATTCCACCCTGTGTCCTCTGGGTTTCCTCTGGGTGCTCCGGTTTCCTCCCACAGTCCAAAGATGTGCAGGCTAGGTGGATTGGCCGTGCTAAATTGCCCATAGTGTTCAGGGATGTGTAGATTCGGTGGGTTATAGGGGGATGGGTCGGGTCAGATGCCGAGGGTCGGTGTGAACTTGGTGGGCCGAAGGGCCTGTTTCCACACTGTAAGGATTCTATGATTGGGAAATAGGCTGAGCAGCAAGAGACAGCAAGTAGGAGTAATGGGCAAGTATTCTCAAGTACAACGTAAAAGACATTTGGACAGGTACATGGATAAGAAAGGTTTTGAGGGATATGGGCCAAATGCAGGCAAATGGGACAAGGTCACTTTAGGAAACTGATCGGCATGGTTGAAGGGCCAGTTTCTGTGTAGTACACCACTCCGACTCTATGACTCTCACGCGACTAGTGTTTCCAGCAAGGATGTACTGGAGCGTTAACTATTCTATTTATTACCAACTTAAATGGTGGGATGGAAAGCTATACATCCAGGTTTACCAATGACATAAAGATACACATTCCAGGTGAAAGCATCAAAGTACAAAGAGATTTTTAACAGATTAAGTGAATGGGAAATACTGTGGCCGACAGATTTCAATTAAGGCTAATATGAGATTATCCACTTTGGATCCAAAAAGAATAAAACAACATGAAAAAACTCCACTGAGGCTGGTATCCCATCACCATTTCACCCTTCATTTACATGTGGAGAGTCCTTGACACTGATCCAGCTCCCTCAGAGTGAACAGAACCTCTAGCTATGAAGAGAGATTGAGTACTTTAGGATTATTTACATTAGAAAGACGGAGGTTGAGGGGGGACCTGATTGAGGTCTACAAAATCATGAGAGGCATAGACAGGGGGATAGCAAGAAGCTTTTTCCCCAGAGTGGGGGACTCAATTACTAGGGGTCACAATTTCAAGGTGAGAGGGGAAAAGTTTAAGGGAGATATGCG